TCAGCCTTGTAAACAACTGTGTGTACCATATTCCTGCTTCAGTAGGACTTCCAGAATCCGTACGTATGGTTCATATTTGTATTACTTTCTGGCGCAACTTTTAATTGTACAGCCCTGTGCAAAGTCTGCCCCCCACTGTCTGCACACACATGGCTCAAATCACATGAGGAGGAGAATGTGGAAGGCCCTGTGGTCCCACAGGCTGTCACATCCTTGTTGCCTGTCTCCATAGACCTTCTTCGTGGGAGAGGTAACTTAGGTCCTGTGTAGATTGTCTAGGTCCTGTGTAGACTGCCCTACCCATGCAGAGCCCCAGGAACCTGGGAATACGGCACTGGAGATCAGTTCCTCCTTGCACCACTTCAGTGGGACTCTTTGGGATGGATCCCTTTTTGTTTGCTCTTTGTTTTGTTTGACCAGGTTTGCCTCTTTTGAAATCCAAAGAGCTGAAGAAATACCCAGTTCTAATGTGCTGAGGTTAGGTTTGGGTTCTACCTACAGAAACCAGCTTCCATCTAGTCTGAAAGCAGGCATATTTTTAGGGGTAACTAAAGAGGTAATAGTAAGTAGGGATATACTGACCCTTTCCAGAACCTACCTGTTAGATTCCTTCTGGTGCTCATCCTTCTCTAAGGAAGAGGGCCAAGCCTGGAAGAAGTCCACAGACATTTGAGAACCTCCAGGAACCTTCCCCAGCTGCCATTCCTTGCGGCCAGCCTCCCTCCCTGTGTGCCGGCCACCTCTCCCAGCAGCCAGTCATGGCACTGCCTGCTCAGTGCATTGGGCTCCATTGCTGGAGAGTCCCCACAAACCCAGGGTGTGCACACCAGGAATTCAGGCCCCAGCCCGTGGCAGAGCAGGTGGTGCAGTGGTTAAGAACCTGGGATGGGGACTCAGGAAATCTGGGTTCTGGTCCCCTCTCAGCCATGGAGCCAACTGGGTGACTTTGGGCCAGCCACAGACTCTCAGCCCAACTTACCTCACAGGGTGGTGGTTGTTGTGGGGATAAGATGGAGGAGGAGAATGATGCAAGCTGCCTTGAGCCCTTTGTAGGAAAAAGGCAGGATGTAAATCGGAAATAAATAAATACATAATCTGGACAGCTGAAAACCAGGGAATCTGTCAGGCTATCTGCCCAAAGCAGATTCCTCTCACACCCATAATAGTAAGCAATTTCATTTCAATTTCTATACAACCCCCAAACTTGATCATCTGATTGTACCAACACACTTTTCTGGATGGAAGGTCAACATCTGGGGGTCAGAGACAGGCTAAAGGTAAAGGTTTCCCCTTGACATGAAGTCCAGTCATGCCTGACTCTAGAGGGTGGTGCTCATCTCCGTTTCCTGGCCGAGGGAGCCAGCGTTTGTCCGCAGACAGTCTCCATGGTCATGTGGCTGGCATGACTAAACACTGAAGTGCATGGAATGCTGTTACCTGCCCACCAAAATGGTACCTTTTTATCTATTTGCATTTGCATACTTTCAAACGGCAAGGTAGGCAGGAGCTGGGACGGAGCAACGGGAACTCACCCCATTGTGCAGATTCGAACCGGCGACCTTTTGATCAACCAAGCCCAGCAGCACAGCAGTTTAAGCCACTGTGTCACCTGAATCTCCCCCAGAGACAGGTTAGGTCCCACTTGCTACCCTATTGACCCAGCACTGCCACAAACTGGCCATGAGTCAAGTGATCCTCCAACATGGGAAGTAATTTATGCGCATGTCTTTTTTCAAGTGATGGAAATCTGTGCGAAATCTGGCTACCATTTGTGCAATTTACACAAATGGCAGCCTGAATTCATTGGCTTTAAAGCAAATGCTCTTCATAGCCCACTTTAAAAGTGAAGCCAGAATCCCTGCCGAATTGAGCCTGCTTTTGGCTCTTGAGTTAGAGAGGTGCAGAGAAGGTTTTCCCAATGTGAGAGGGTCCAGCTTCTCACCCTGAAAAATATATACTTTGTGTTGGAAAGTAGCACAGGGAGAAAGACAAAATATTTGGATTTCTTCCAGTCTATAGAAACTGACAGCAAAAGGAAAATGACAATTTTGAGTCTTCTTTGAGGCAGGCAGGAAGATGATAAGAAGTGCAAAGTGCTGGGTGTGTGTTTATTATAAAGATGAAATGGACTGACCTGCTATAGTCCAATGAAAGTTGCTGCTCTGCCGTGTGAATAACTTCAGATAAATGCTAATCTCTTGGCCATGCCCTTGAAAGAATTCACAGAAACCCTTTCTGCAGGGCTTCGCTGCTCTTTACAGTGCTGTTACTTTGAAATGGGATGCTAAATTCTTCAGCACTTGCAATTATAGAAATCTGCTACCTCTTTTCTTCACTAAAATACTGCATTTGTCATACAATGATGCTCCTTAAATAGGTACTTTTTATTAGAGATGGGGAACGGGGGAAGAAAAGGCATTACGCATGCAGAAAAATCTTTTCTCCTTTTAATGCATACATGCGCTTTTACAATCCTGTAATTTTAGCGTCTGATACGGGGGAGTGGGCATGAAAAAGGGCAACATTTGGCATGCTTTTTTCTCATTGTGCTGTACTTCGCAATGGAAGGAAAGTATTTCAATGGGCTGAAATCATTTTTTTGTCTTTGGCTACGACCTAAGTTATTTGCAAAATTCAGAGGAAACTCCTCTGTAATTTCCCTAGAGTTGGGAGCATGCCTTATCTTGAAGAAGATCAGGAGAAGCCTATGACCATGATCCCATTCAAATGAAGCCCTTTCACATGGCTTTTAACAGCTTCCCATTGTCCTACTGGAGCATGCCCATGGGTTGGCAGAAAAGTACTTTGTCAATTTGACATCCTGCAAGAACTGAAGCAAAGATGACAGAACAAGAGCCACCAATGAGGTCCTGTGACTGGCAGAATAAAACCACCATAAAAGATGGGGGGTGGAACATTGTTCTACCTTAGAAACATCAAAATAAATCCCTTTCTCACTCTCAGGACATCAAGAGCCATGGAGAGAATTATGTTTGTCTGTTTGTTTGATTGTACACGTATTTACATGCCACCTATAACTGCCGAGGCCTTCCTAGGCTTACATTAAACATATTAAAACCAATTAAAAGCCTATTAAATCACTAATGAATTAAAACATTTATGATAACAGTATAAAAAGGGCCACAGCATTCAGGGGCTAAGCGTTTTAAAAAAAATTCTAAAAAGGTATATCTTTGCCTGGTGCTGAAAGGAAAATAAAGACAGTGGCAGGCGGATTCCCCTAGGGAGGGAGTTCCAGAGATGGGGAGCAGCAGCAGAAAAGGCCCTTTGCCTAATTGCTACCCCTCTCCTCTCCCTGAGGGTGGATCTGGTAGAAGGGCCTCCTGAGCTGATCTGAGGGGAGGGGTAGGTATACACGGTGTAGACGGTCCTTCAGATGGTGTTACTGGTCACCATGGCAGTTCTGATTCCCAGCATTGTGAGCTAGGAAGCAGAGCTCCAATGCCCCTTCCTCTCCCCTCACAGCCAGCGTAGGATGCACTGCACTGGCTGCTCTCTGAGGTTGGAGGGGGGACCTTTGAGGGGATAAAGGAGAAATTTGGGGGTTGAGTCATGGAGGAGGATACCTTGAAGCCACTGCAGCTTCCTTGCCTACCCTGAAGTGCTTCAGCTAGATAGACAACAGTGTCCTTCTAGAGAAAATCCAGAGCAGGACAAGCTCTTTCTACTGCATGTTTGATGAGAATGGGCTTCTGGATTCAGGGGTTCATGCTCACCTTGATAGGAATGTACCCTTGGGGCTTCAGTGTTGTGCTCAGAAATGGACTGTTTCCATTGAAGCTAAGAAAAGTGGAAGCCCATCATGGAATAGTACAGTTGGAAGGGACCATGAAGGCCATCGAGTCCAACCCTGCTGTTGCAGGACAGCACGTTACTCCATCCCACTCAGATGGCTTCCAATTTCTTTTTCAATGTCTCTCGAGTGGGAGAGCCTACCACCTCTCATAAGCCACTGCTAAAGGAAGAAACAACACTTACAGAGCTGAGAGATATCGTAGGTGTTTTTAGGGGGCTGAAAAAACAGGGAAGATCTTTGTACAGGGAACCTTATTTATTTACTTACTTTCTTACTTACTTAACAGTTGGGAGTTCCATTGTTGTTGGAATTTCATGCTAGCAATAGCTGCAGACTGATGGGGAGAGAAAGACGGCCCTTGCCTGAGGTCTCAACTACGTTCTGGCAGAAGGGTTTTGGTTAGGCCAGATTGCTTACCCATTCCCTGTGAGAGCAAGAGGGCTGGATCAGGTTTCCTTGGATATCTGCATCAGTTTCCCTGGTGTCCCCCTGCTCTTTTTCGTTTCCATTGAAGGAAGGAGAGAAGTGAAGCAGTGGAACTCCTCTGATGATAACCATGTGTATCCTGAGGACTCAGACAGAAAGGAAATACAAGTTCTGGCTTCTGTTATCAGGGAAGTCACTTAAGGCCACCAGAAGGATGCACCCTCTGTGCCCTGGGAAGAACCCCAAGGTAAGGGGAAGAAGAAATTGAAATTGTGAAAGATTTTACATACCTCAGCTCAGTCATCAGTTCAAAGGGAGACTGCAGTCAAGAAATGCAAAGAAGACTGGAATTTGGAAGGGCAACAGTGAAGGAACTAGAAAAAGATCATCAGGTGTAAGGACATTTCAGTGGAGTCCAAGTCAAGATCATCCACAGTGTTGTATTCGCAGTCACAGTGTATGGATGTGAAAACTGGACAGTGAAGAACGCTGGCAGGAAGAAAATTGATGCATTTTAAACATGGTGCTAGAAGAGAGCTTTATAAAAAAAATCTGAACCAACAGGAAGACAAATAAGTGGGCCATAGATCAAATTAATCCCAAGCTTTCCCTAGAAGCAAAAATGACAAAGCTGAGGCTGTCATACTCTGGACACATCGTAAGAAGGCAAAACTCACTGAGGAACGCATCATGCTAGGGAAAGTTGAAAATGGAAGAAGAAAGGGAAGGCCTAATTTAAGACGGACTGAATCCATAGAGGAATCTGCAGCCTTGGACTTAGAACAGCTGAGCTGGGCTATCGTGGAGAGGACATTTTTGGATGGCTTTCATTTATGGGATTGCCATAAGTTGGAGATGACTTGACAGCACATAACAACAGCAAAAAGGGGTGGACTAACTTGGCCCATCCTTCAGCCAAGGATGGGCCAAGAGCTACTTTAGGATTCTCACTTCAGGAAAGAACACCCAACTCTACCTGAAGCTGCTCTGGAAATACAGAAGGAGAAAGAAGGTATGCTCTAACCCCATCTATTGACCCGCAGAACAAGTGTGACCCTAATTCTAGCAGGAATACCATTAATGCCAAAGCTCAGTTTGGCTTCAAGGGCATTTTGTCCTTTATAGCTCACTACCTTGTTCTGGTTTTGAGAAAATGAAACTCCCTCCCCTTCCTTTCTCCTTCCTGCACCTTCCCTTGAACCTCTTTGTAATCCTGATGACAGAGTTGTTTGGTTGGTCGATCCCCCTTCTTGTCCACTCTTATTGATGTAAGCAATTGCAGTAGACAAGAATGGGCTGAGAAGTAGAATGTAAATGCAGTAAATAAATAAATACCGTCACGGAAAGAGCACCAAGATAGCATCCACAAAGTGGTAGGAAAATACACTGCTAGGCAATTTCAGTGGTGGCCATCTGGCACTCAGTAGAACACAGGCATGGTGTAGTGCTGGGATCTCGACAGGTGGTCTAAGCAGACCACCTGCCGACACTGGACCTGGTTGGCAAGAACAGGACAGTCCTTTGAGAGATGTGTTACATGAAGCCTTGGTCTATGGAAGCTTTCCAGACTCTTGCAAGGCACTAAAGATTGTGGTTAATGCCCCTGTGCAGAAAGCTTCACCAAGCCAGCCGTACCATACACAGAACCCTAATGTAACATTAAACGCTTGGGATTATAACTGCAAGACTGGGCCTGTTTGGGTCCAGGACTCCTTTGTACACCCCTAAAGAGAAAAGCCAGCAATATTTCCAGTTGTTACCCCACTGATATCCATGGAAATTGGATGGCGGCATTAGGGAAATTCATAACTGCAAGTACGGAACTTCCAACAGGAGCTTTTATGAAATGCTCATTCTGCCAGGTGTCAGAGGGCCATTCGGATAGTCATGCTTCAATTAGCAGAAGTGATATTGATTGCCACACTCTTTGTATTACACTCATAATGCCAGCTACCCCACTGCAAACATGAAATGTGGCCAAGTTTCATTTATCACAGTCACATGGTGCTATCAAAGGCCACTGCTGCTTTCAAAACAAATGAAAACCAAATGAGGATAATTAAGGAATAATATAGACCATTCAAATATCTCTTTAATTAAGAAAGATGCTCTTTTCTAGAGTGCTATTCAAGGGAGTCCTTAAAATTTAACCCTTCTGAGTTTTGGAACTGTTTGGATGAGTTAAGATTTAGATCATGACGGGAGAGGTTAAGAACTGAGAGCAGAAAATGCACCCTGTGCTGATTCCTATATCAAATGAACCATTGTGTTGCAGCAGGTCAAATGCTGGGCATGTTTTCTTTCCTGCTGATGGCACCAAGTGCAAATTCTTGGTTGATTCTGAAGCTCAATTAATGGCTATGGTCTGTATCCAAACTGTCAAGGGGCAAAGCCATTACATGGATGGTATAGGCGAACTGGTTTGTGCAAATTAAAGCACAGCAAGCAGAAAAGAGGTGATTAAGCTAGGGAGTGCAGGTGCAAACTAAAGAAGAGACAAGGTAACACAAAACATAAGGAACTGGGGGGCATTGCCTCCAGAACTACATATTTGGGATAGTGAACAAATTAACTTCAAGATCACTTAGATTCTCTGAGCATTGTCTCACCTATTGTCTCACTTCCAGTTTCCATTTATGCCAATGATCCGTGCTTGGTCTGTGTGAATGAGAAAATCGTGCAAAGAAAGTTGTGATCAAATCAGAGGTTTCTACACCCTGTCCCTGAACAAGCAGATCTGGTCATAGCCGTACATATTTAAGTGCATCAATGTATGAAACCTGGAAGAAAATACCAAATGTTAGCAATAATTATAACCAAGACCGTTAAAAAAACCCACAAGTGTACCCAAAGAAAACCGATTCAGGAAATATAAAAAAGCCTATTTCAATAGTGAGAAACATTGAAGCATAGAAACAAAGCAAGTCAGTAGGGGTCTCCTGGGCCATCTAGTCTGACCCCTGGTTCCAGCTGGCTCCATTCATGACATGCCTCCCATGTGCATGTCCAGCCTATCCTTGAACACCCTCACCGATGGGGCCTCAACCACCTCCCGTGGAAGCCCATTCCATACCCTTGGAGTCCTAACTGTCAGGAAGCACTTCCTGGCATCCAAATTGAACCTGGGTTCCCTGAGCTTGGCTCCATTGGAAGGTGTCCTGACCTCATCCACAGGGGAAAATAGGTCTCTACCTACCTCTACCTTATGTACATACATGTCACCAACAGATCCCCTCTGAGTCGCCTCTTCTCCAGGCTGAAAAGACCCAGTTCCCTCAGTCTTGCCTCATATGGCTTTCTCTGGAATCCAACCACCATCCTTGTGGCCCTACACTGCACTGAGTCTAACCTGGCTAAATCCTTCCTGTAATGTGGAGCCAAAACTCAACATAATACTCCAGTTGTGGGTGCACCAGAGTCATGCAGAGTGGCAGTAATACCCCTCTTGATCTAGAAGACACACTTCTGGCTGTGCAACCAAGGGTGGCGTTCACCCTCTTGACCACCGCATCACTCTGCTGACTCATGTTTAACCTGCAGTCAACCAGCACCCAGATTTCCCTTTCACAAGTGCTGCTCTTCAAAACTATTTGCCTCTTGAGAAAACTGGCTCTAATTATAGATTTATAATTGTCACACTCAATATGCAGATTGTAATCAGATCAAATGGCTGCACAAACACTGCCCCCCTCTACAAAATTAATTTGGAGCACGTTTGCAAATTCTCTCTTTCTTCCAGCGTTTAACAAAGCATGACAAAAAACCATGCACTACATTTTCCCCACCCCACAAAATAGATATGACCAATAAAATTTTAATACAAGTTCTCAACTAAGTGTTGCAAATCAGACTGAAAGGTAAACATTTTCATACTGAAAGAAAAGAAAAGAGAAAAGGAAGAAAAAGTCAAGTCCTGGGGAACCTGGAACCTCTGAAGTGCAACCTCCATCAAATGTCATAATTCAGAATTCAGGGATGGAATAAATACTCATAATATGAATGTTTCAAAACTAGATTGAGGCTACTTTCATTAATTTTAAACACAGGCAGAGAAAATAATTGCAAATGCCTGGGGCATGCTTTTATATGTCCTGTTTAAACATTCTGTTTCCTTTTCGTCTCGTCTTCTTGGCCTGAGCCCTTTATGGTTCCATTAAGAGTCACATTTATGCTCTGGCAGAAATGGCCACCCCTGTCAGGCACAAGAAGTATTATGGAGAAAGGCAGACTCTAAAAGAAAAAAGATAATGAGAACATAGTCAAGGTTGGCCCTACCATGCTTCTGGGTAAAGAATAGCCCTTTAAGCAGCATGGGAAGACAGAAGGAAGAAGGAATCTGTGTTTGGATGGTGCAGCAAGATATTGGCATTGGCAGGAGGGAAAGTTCTTGGGCTTTGCTTCAAGAAGCCAGATGGCGTGGGCTGGAAATAAACACAGGCCAATACAGGGCCGAGTCCATTTCTTGAGAGCGAGCCAAGAAGCTTGCCTTTACATCTGTGTTGCCTTCATATACCTCCCTGTGTCACTTGTTGACTAGTTTGTGGTTATGCAAAAGTCCAAATGTCTGAATGTTATTCAGATAAAGTGGCTTTGCAATACTCCGTAATTTATCCAATGTACAGGCATTCAGACACATTATGAAGGCAGTTTGCATAGTGTTATGACATTGTTGTATAAGTCAAGAGGGAGACAAGTGCATTATGTATCTGCTTCTCTCGCCCTGCAATTATGCTGTCCAAGAGTTAGTCTGCATGCGTACCTCTGAAACTAGTAGTATGTAATCCAGTCTCATCACATGGCTTTCTTTTCCTGTGGACAGCTTGCCTTTGTCTATTTGTCCTGAATGTTGGCATTTCCCTCTATGCTCTGCTGGCAAAAACAGCTCAGTCACAGAATCTGAGTCTCCCCTCCCAGATACTTTCTGAATTACCAATTTTGTTACCATCCTCTAGTTCACTGATAGTGAACCTTTTAGAGACCAAGTGCCCAAACAGCAACCCAAAACCCACTTACTTATCACAAAGTGCCAACACTACAATAAAACCTGAATATTGAGGTTTTAGTTTAGAAAAAACACCTCATAGCCAGTCCAAGAAAATATATATATATATCCTTGGCAGCACACTGACCGGCCATGTGAGAGCTCGGATGAGTCGCAGCTAATGAGTTGTGGCTCGTGACGTCGTCGCCTGGCACTGCTGCTACTTTCCGAGCATGCGCATGTCCTCTATTATCCGATGCTCAGCTGCTGGGGCAACTTGGCTCGCATGCCACCAGAGAGGGCTCTACATACCCACTGTGGCACGCGTGCCATAGGTTTGCCACCACTGCTCTAGTTGAAACCATTTTCATGATGCCACAAGGGCTCAAGAATGCAACTGGTCAGATGGTGCTAATAACACTTGCTCTAATAGCAGCAAGAAAGTCAGCCCAATCTAATTTTGGTGCCATACGTGTTTATTTCTGCATGCTGGTGGCAGCGGCCATGGCCCTGGGAATTTGCCATTGTGGTAGGTTAAAGAGTTGGGACCTGATCACAGAGGCCCAGCTGTGGCATAATGTCCTCTCTAGAGAGAATGGCTGTTCTGTTTGTCCTCTCCTTTCATCGGTTCTGAATGCACCAGCTGCTCTCCCTTCCTTGTCATGTTGTTATAAGCAATGGGAAAATATAAATATATTTAATATGGCGAACAGAATGACATCAGTATTAATCAAGATTTCATAGGGCTGGTACATACACTTCAGTCATCTGTATTTGCCAAGGAAAATCCTTATTTTCCAGTTGTTATCCCTGGAGGGATAACGGTATTGGT